CACCGCCCCTGCCTTTTAGCATTTTTTTGCTAGAAAACTACTTGGAACCACCAAACATTTTTTTATATATATATATATATATATATATATATATATATATATATATATATATATATATATATATATATATATACACATACATACGTTCCAATAACCTCCTTTGCATTGCCACGGGTGTATAAAATCAAGCACCTAGGCATGCAGACTGCTTCTACAAACATTTGTGAAAGAATGGGTCGCTGTGCATTGTCAAGTGTAACAGTTTGGTGCAGGAGGGGAATGTGATCCCTTAGTTCCAGTGAAGGGAACTCTTAAGGCGTCAACCTACCAAGACATTTTGGACAATTTCATGCTCCCAACTTTGTAGGAAGAGTTTGGGGATGGCCCCTTCCTGTTCCAACATGACTGCACACCAGTGCACAAAGCAAGGTCCATAAAGACATGGAGGAGCAAGTTGGGGGTGGAGGAACTTGACTGGCCTGCACAAAGTCCTGACCTCAACCCCATAGAACACCTTTGGGATGAATTAGAGCGGAGACTGTGAGCCAGGCCTCCTCCCCCGACATCAGTGCCTGACCTCACAAATGTGCTTCTGGAAGAATGGTCAAACCTTCCCATAGACACCCTCCTAAACCTTGTGGACGGCCTTCCCAGTAGAGTTGAAGCTGTTATATCTGCAAAGGGCGGGGCCAACTCAATATTGAACCCTATTGACTAAGACTGGGATGCCATTAAAGTTTGTGTGTGGAAAGGCAGGCGTCACAATAGTTTTGGCCAAGTGTGTGGGTGTTACTTTTTATTTATTTTTTTTTTTAAGCAGAGGCTATGTAATAAAATGGTGGATGTTACATATTTTTGTGTCAATATTTGCGCAAAGGTTTTTCAAACGCACTTTTGTTTTTGATTTCTTTTTAAATACATTTTAATGAATTTTAATGCACAAAAGACATTGGGGTCGATTTGCTGCAAATAGTCTGTGCACTGCGAGTGTAGTTGCTCTAGGTCTGAGGGGGAGCTTTGCTATCATTTGACATGTGCAAGCAAAAATGCTGTTTTCATTTTCTTTACATTTGATTGATTGGGTATTTTTTGCAAAGTGAAGCTTTACCTCATTTACTAAGCTCTGGAGCAAATGCACTTGCAGTGCACAGTTGGTTTTCCTTTAGTAAAAAAATACCTAGTATAATACACAATTATATTACGCAAAGTAGATACCAAACATGTCACACCTTAAAACTGCGTGTGTCCATGTATGGCTCGAAACTACGGGACGTAAAAAAAAATCTCTATAGGCAAAGCTTTAAAAGCCTATACAGGTCACCACTGTAGAGTTATACAGAAGGTCTGGCTCTAGAATTATCGTTTTTGCTCCGACATTCACAGCGATACCTCACATGTGCGATTGCGGTTTACATATGTGTGCGGGACTGAGGTGCGCGTTCGCCTTTTGGCGTGAGCATGGATGGACGGGGGAGTGCTTTTTAATATATATTTTTTTTCTAATTTTAATATTTATTTTATTTAAACTGTTAACACTGAAACTTTTTTTTTTTTTCTTAATCAACTCACCTTAACAGTGTTTTGTAAACACTGTCAGTCTGTTTCCTTGACCTCAGCAGCTGCAAGTACACAGCAATTCTTGGCTGTCAGTTTGGCAGCCCAGATTTGCCAGCAGGTGTTCTCACCCAAGAATTATGAGAGAAAGAGGTAGGGGAAAATATGAGGACAAATATTCTGGTGGCAGCAAAAAGGTACATTTTTCTTCAATTTGGGGAGTCGGGAAGTAAAGGGAAGTTTCTCTAGCAGGACAGAGACCGCAAAAAAGACTTTTATGATAGTAGTGTCAACCCTTCCTTACTCTTTGGGGGGGAAGAAAAAAAAAAGTTTTGGCTAGACATACTTTAATACATGAGCATCTACCAAACACCAAAATACCAGTCTGGGGTGGAGTCACTTTTAATGTGTGCATGACATTTGTTGCCTGTACTTTTCCAAATAATCCTTAATGCTTAGTCATAAATGCATTTATTTTAGATTTTATTTGATTAGAATATGAACTTTATACCATTATGCCTAATTAATTCTGTCAGCAAATGTGCTGCAGATTTAATCTGTCAGATCAAAAAAAGCAATTGTTCCTACAGACAGGTTGTAATTTTTAAAAGGTTAGCCCACCCAAAAGTCATAGTTCCATGTGCAGGGTTTTTTTTTCTTTGTTTTTTTTTTTTTTTTGTCTTCAATAATCATACAGTGAGGTCTTCTGTGATTATTATTATTATTATTATTATTATTATTATTATTCAGTATTTATATAGCGCCAGTAGTTTGGTCAGCGCTGTACATTATAGTGGGAGACAGTACAGTAACAATACAATGCGATACACGGGGGGTTCCAGGGCCCTGCTCCTTGGAGCTTACAATCTAGGAGGGAGGGGAGAGTGATACAGGAGGAAATAGCTGTGGGGGATGGAGTGGTGGGAAGAGCGGAGGAGATCCGCAATTAGGTGAGGGCTGGGTAGGCTTCTCTGAAGAGATGTGTTTTCAGGGTGCGCCTAAAGGTGAGGACGGTAGGTGACAGTCTGATGGATTGGGGTAGCGAGTTCCAGAGGATGGGGGAAGTCCTGGAGACTGGCATGGGAGGAGGAGACCAGGGAACTGGAGAGTAGGAGGTCTTGTGAGGAGCGGAGAGTGCGTGTTGGGTGGTAGATGGATATCGGGTCGGTGATTTAGTTTGGGGCAGTGTGGTGGACAGCTATGTACGTTGGTGTTAATATTTTGAATTTTATGCGTTGGGCAATTGGAAGCCAGTGGAGGGATTGGCAGAGGGGGGAGGCGCAGATGGAGCGGTTGGTGAGGTGGATGAGTCTGGCCGCAGGATTCAGGATAGACTGAAGCGAGGATAGCCTGTGTTGGGGTAGGCCGGCGAGGAGGGAGTTGCAGTAGTCAAGTCGTGATATGATAAGGGAGTGGATGAGTTGCTTTGTGGTTTCTGGGGTTAGGAACGTGCGTATTTTGGCGATGTTGCGGAGGTGGAGTCTGCATGAGTTTGTTAGTGATTGGACTTGGGGCTGGAAGGATAGATTGGAATCAAGTATGACCCCAAGTACCCTGGCTTGTGGGGTGGGCCTGATGGTGGCATTGTTGGACGTGATGGAGAATTTAGTGGGGGGTGGTGTGTGGGCAGGGAGGAAGACGAGCTTGGTTTTGGAGAGGTTCACTTTAAGGAAGTGGAGTGACATCCATTTGTGATTTCGGGCGGAGACTGAGGGGGGTGAGGTGAAGGGTGGAGAGATAGATTTGCGTGTCGTCAGCATAGAGGTGGTAGTTGAAGCCAGGAGAGTGTATGATTTGGCCAAGGGAGGAGGTGTAGATGGAGAAGAGAAGGGGCATGAATTTGTCAGCGATTGGATCTGAGGCTGGAAAGACAGATTGGAGTCTAGAATGACACCTAGTACTTTGGCTTGCGGGTTGGGGCTGATGGTGGCGTTGTTGGTCGTGATGGAGAGGTTGGGGGGGGCGCAGGCTGGGAGGAATACTAGGAGCTCGGTTTTAGCAAGGTTTAGTTTGAGGAAGTGGAGTTACATCCAGTCTGATATGATTCCTGACTGTGTCCTATCCTGAACTCTTGGGAATTTTAGGTTTTCGCTTGCACCTTTTGTATGTTCCAGCTGCTCCTCCTGTTATATTCTCCATAGAGATCTCACCAGTAGAGTCCCAAAGAGCAAAAGAGAAACTCAAGCGTTTAACTCTTCAGCATCCAATAATACTATCTTATATTTGGGGGGGACCCTTTAATGGATTACTTTGGTAGGTCTTCCCACTACAGCTGTTTAATTTTTGCTGATCTGACAGATCATATCTGGGACAAAATTTACCTACGTGGGATCAACTTTTGGTTAGTGAGCAGTTTTGTTGATCAGAAAAAAAAATAAAAAAATAAAGTATTTCTAGTGGCAGAAGTGCCCTTATTTCCCCTTTCCCCCTGTGGAACATGTGCAGCTTCTTGTGAATGTTTTGTGCACTTGGGAAATCGGTTCCGCTCTGGAGCGATTTTATTTATTTTATTTTATTTTTGCACACTCGTTTAAAATCTTTTTTTTTTTTTTTTTTTTTTCTATAAAATTGCTTGTAATCCCCAAAACCTTGTGTATTTTCTGAATGCAGAGATCCTGTAGAATAAAGATGGTTATTGCCATTTATGTTGCACGACATTTGCACAACTCTATCAAATCATATATTTTGAGGAAAAAAATGCTAAAATTAATTTTAGTTCACACAAACATATGAATCCCTATTTTGTTTTTCTACAAAAAGAAAAGATAAGGTAGTGTTGAGTAAATGGATACCAAATATGTCGGCCTCAAAATTGCATGTGCCCACAAAATGGCATAAAAATACAATACCCAAAACTATCAGTAGGTGGTGCTTTAAAGCAGGACTAAAGACACCTTACTTCCTTTTTTTTTTTTTTTTTTTTTTTTTTTTTTTTTTTTTTTATATGGTCCAGGTCCCTCACTGGTGCTGACATCTTTTTCCCTGGGTGCCAGTCTTTGGACATTGGCCAGCACGGACTGACATAATCCTGCACAGTGCAGCAGCCTGTCATCCCAGCACATGGGAATTGTGCCAGTGATGCAGAAGACTGCAGGCAGGTAGGTGTATTTTATCACAGAAGAGACATTGCATGTCTTCTGCGTGATTAGCCTGCCTGCTTTCAGTCTGTTATAAAAAGCATCCAGCTCTGCTTAAAAACCTTGAATGATGCATGGGTCTGACACACCGAAAGTACAGTAAAAGTGATCTGGCAGCTCTATAGCCACCTGGATTACTTTTACATTAAAGCCAGGAGCCCACTGGGCAAAAGTTATAGGCTCATGTAGTATGTCCAGAAAGGCGAAGTAATTAAGAGGTATATTGCCATTAAAAATAGTTGCTGGCTCCTCACAGATCTTCACATAGCATTGGTTCCTTTTATAATCCTCGCTTTCTTCCTTTTATAGAGTATGCTGAGTTTCTGCACTGCAAGTCAAAGAAATTTACAGATTTCGATGAAGTTCGCCAGGAAATTGAAGCAGAAACAGACCGGGTAACTGGAACCAACAAAGGCATTTCACCTGTGCCCATTAACCTTCGGGTCTATTCTCCTCATGGTGAGCAGCAAGATTTTATTTGAATCCCTTTTATGAAGTTGACATATAATACAGTTGCATAACCTGAGCCTTTCATTATAACCTCAAACTGCCAACTCATGTGGTCTTAAAGCTGAACTCCAGACACAATTTACATTTTGCAGTTAATTCTGTATCTATTTCAGCAGTATGATCTTCAACAAAGGTTGTGGTTTTTCTTAACCCTTCATATCTGTTTTTTCATCCCAGAAAGATTTAAAATATATACAAAACTAGGGAAGGATCAGAATCCCTATCTATGGCTGCAGTAGGTATATTTACCTTGACCATTGTCCTTTGGATAAAAACTAATGGGGAATCCAAACTATTTCAGTTGTCATAAGAGCATGGGTTAAGGGGTAATTGTTTTTAATGGACACATTTAGTTACATCTCTGGGACAAGTAATGAAGGTAAATCTCCCCAGCAGAAAACAGCAATAAAACTGACAGGGGTTTTAAACATTGCCCTACCCCTACTCTACCCCCCCCCCCCCCAAAAAAAATAGGAACCAAGTTCTATATGGTAGACCCTCAAACCCCATCCTTAATCTCTAGGCCAGTGGTCTCCAAACTGCACCTTGGGGCAGGATCCGGCCCTTTGCTTGCCTTTATCTTACCCCTGGGGCACTATTCCTCCCACTTGTACCAAAAAATGGGTTATAATTCCTGCTACAGACATCAACAGCTGGGCACTTTTCCTCTCATTGACACCAACGATGAGGCACTATTCCTCCAGCTGACACCAGTGATGGGGCTGTGTCCCTCCCATTGACACCAATCATGGAGCACTATTCCTCCCACTGACACCAGTGATGAGGCTCTGTCCCTCCCATTGACACCAATCATGGAGCACTATTCCTCCCACTGACACCAGTGATGGGGCTCTGTCCCTCCCATTGACACCAATCATGGAGCACCATTCCTCCCACTGACACCAGTGATGGGGCTCTATCCCTCCCATTGACACCAATCATGGAGCACCATTCCTCCCACTGACACCAGTGATGGGGCTCTATCCCTCCCATTGACACCAATCATGGAGCACTACTCCTCCCACTGATACCAACGATGGGGTGCCAATCCTCCCCCTAATACCCAAGATGCGTTGTTTACTCCCACTGATGCCAGGACAATTTCTATTCCCGATGACCACAGTCTGGCCCCCCAAAGCCTGAAGGAACAGTAAACTGGCCCTTTGTTTAAAAAGTTTGGAGATCCCTGCTCAAGGCCAAAAAATAATTACTAAAAAGGAAAGCATCATTCTCTTCCAAGCTTCCAGCATGTTCACCTAAGCAGGAGTGACCTCACACCGCTTTCTTCAGGAAAGCGAAGGATTCTTCAGAAAATTGCAGGAGTGACTTCTCCCAAGTTTTTGGGATCTGCCTTCCCATGAGTTTGTGAGAAAGCGGACGTCGCCCTTACCTGTTGTGGAAATGACTAGGTGAGGTTTACCCTTTACTTTTGAGACATTGCCTCTCACTCTCTGTTGCATCTTTGGGACAAGAACGTATTTACCTCGCTCCAACAGGACACAGATGGTAAAAAACCAAGGTCTTACTATTCTGTACTTTAAAATAGGAAAAAAAACCGTTTGGCTAGAGATGGACTTTACAATTTTAAGTAAAAGTCCTCTTTAAACCAGTTTGTAATTTCCACATAGCCGCCTAATTGCTTTACACAAGGCGTAACTAATATTATGACAGTTGAGGACAAATTCAGTCTTATGAGCACTAATCTATTTTCATTGCTCTACCTCTAAGTATGTCATTCTGAGAAGACCAGAGAAGCACTTGCTATTATATCTACACGACAGACCTGAAGGGCCTTCCAGTCAGAAGCACTGTAGTTGGCATCAGGCCCTCGGGACGCTCTTAGTCCGCATTATTGCATCTGGAAAGCCTTGTGAGAGCACTTTACATTGTATGACTCTCTGTATTAATATACAGTATATCCACTTAGACTCAGATTGTCTTTTTAGTCTTGGCTACAAGACAGGAGATTAGAAGACCAAAATCATTTCTTGAGAAAACGGAGTGAGGTCTGGGTTAATTGCAAACAATAAGTAGCATGGAGGAAAGTCAAACGGGCCTGCTGTTTTTTCGCTGAGGTGTTTCAACACAATCCTATCATTTCTTGTACTGAAAGTTAGTGCATGTAAACCCCACAATGGAAAAGGAAAAAGAGAGGCGCCTTCTGAGTGCAGTATATAAAGGAAATGTATTAATCCACAATGTAAAAACTCACATATAGGGAAGTAAAAACAAGCCCATTAGTAGACAGTTTGCTGTGTCCTGCAGGGATCCGTCCCATGTGGAGCTGGCTTCTGGGGGTAATGACAAATCCCGGGTAGCTGGGGAGAGTGGAGGTCCCACAGTGTAAGGTGAGCGTCGGGCAGAGTTCCTGGGAGCTAGAGACAGCCAGGAGTCCAGGGCTCCGTCATCCGACCAGAACCATAAGTGCCCTTAACCAGCATGAACCACAGCAGGGGCGGAAGTGACGTCACACAAGAAGAGAAACCGTAAACTGAAGGGAGGACAGGCTATGCCAGGGGTGGGCAAACTTTTTGACTTGAGGGCCGCAATGGGTTCATATATTGGACCCGGGGGCGGACCAAGAGTAGATGAATGTTGTGTATGTGTGAATTAATATAAATTAAATTAAAATTTGTAACATTAAATGTTTAGATTATTTTAAACACTACCATGCCATCCATAGTAAGTATAGTAATATTCCCCCATATAGTAATTCTCCCCCCCTATAGTAATTCTCCCCCCCTATAGTAATTCATCCCCCCTATAGTAATTCATCCCCCACAGTACTATTCCCCCCCAAGTAGTAAGCCAAGTCCCCTCTGTGTCAATTCACTTACCTTTGCTCCGCGCGTTCCTCTCGCCGAGTTCCCGCGCCGTTCCGGTCTTCAGGGCGGACTGTGAGAGGAGCCTAGCTCCCCTCACTTTCGTCACGCTGCCCCGCCTACACACATCCTGACAGCCAATGTTTGCCTGCCCTGGCTGTTTTTTTTTTTTTTTTTTTTTTATCACGCTCCACGGGCCGGATTAAAAGGTCCGCCGGGCCGTAGTTTGCCCATTGCTGGGCTATGCGCTTGGAGCTGACTGCTCCTTCTACTGGACACGGTGGGACCTCCACTCTCCCCAGCTACCCAGGATTTGTCATCTCCCCGAGCAGCCAGCTCCACACGGGACGGACCCCTGCAGGACACAGCAAACTGTCTGCTGATGGGCTTGTTTTTACTTCCCTGTATGTGAGTTTTTACATTGTGAATTAATAAATTTCCTTTACATACTACACTCAGAAGGCGCCCTTTTTCTTTTTCCTTTGCATACAGAGCTGGCTCACTCTGAGATGGCTACCATCTGAAGCGGTTATTGGTCATAGACTTTATTTGGAATATGGACATATAGCACTGGATATTGGCCATTAGTGCGCTGAGAGCTCTCTTTTATTCATAAACCCCACAATGACATCTTAAAGTATAAGGAGGGTTATAACACCTGTTTATTTTGTCATCTGTGTCCTATTGGGGAGATTTCCCTTCGCTTCCTGTCCCATAGCAAAAACAGGAAGGGAGAAAATCTTAGCAAATTTAAAGCGGAGCTCCAGTCCCCATAATCAATTTTTTTTTTTAAATTCCCTTGTGATTGTTATTACTTGTACATTTAAATTGGAATACTGTTAGAACAGTTTTCTTGCTGGTTAGCTTAAAATCTTTAAAAATGTACCTGATCTCAGACGCAGGCAGGTGGCCATTTAGAATGTTGGCATCTGAAGCCCACTTGTGTCTAGGATTCAATGCAGCTGGCTACCCAGCATGCACCTCCCGATCTCGAGCCTGTGCAGTAATGACACTGCTCGGCGCATTGTGTTTAGTGCAGGTTGCCGTAGCAATGGTGGCATCACGGAAGTACCCACCCTGTTGCTATGGCAACCTGTCAATCACATTACATTATTAGGCTTCCCAAAGACTCCTGGGATAGATGACGAAAAATCCCTGGAGTCAATGGGAATCGCCTAATAACGTCATCGCCTAGGCGGCCGGGACAGGAAGTATCGCCCGAAGAATTATAATAAAGGTATTTAGAAACAAAAAAAATAATTTCCATTTCGCACTGTACATTGGAGGGGCATTTGAAATATTTGAAGTTTACAAAAAGACTGGAAGTCCACTTTTTAAGGGAGTTCCTTGGGGAACCCCAGGTCACCAGAACTGGTGTCCCCATTGGAAAATTTCCCCTCTATTACTTTTCTGGGGGTTTGGGGTTTCTTTTACTTTCACTTTTGATGATAATAGTAGTAAACAGGACACATAGAGAGGGGAAATCTTGCTAAAAGGGGCACAGGCAGCAATAAAACCTGGACAGGGGTTTAAGAAGAGAACTGGAAAGGGCTGATAAGAACTCCTGAGATTTCAGTTCACACAGGCAGAGTGAACAAAGTTGGGGCTCACTGGATTTCCAGCTGGTGTTTTATCTACAGATCTAACTAAATGCTTTCAATTTAGCAGACCATAAAAAAAAAAAAAAAAAATCAAAGAACAGTAATTCATTGTTGGGGTTTACATACAGGTGCAGGAAGCAGCATTGTTCTACATATAAACAGTGTTTTGAAACCTACATGAGTCAGACCAAACTCAGTGTGTGGTCAGTGCTGGAGATCAAGCATACAATGTCCCAACAGCTTACACTGTTGCATTTGCTGCACATACCAGACCATATTATGGCATTGAAATTGCTCAGATTGTTTTGTAACAATAAAAAGTGTTCACTTTTTTCCTCTTTTTTTTTTTAGAGGCCATTTACATGTACTTTACCACAGTTATCAGTAGGGTTACACCGATTTTTTTTTTTTTCTTTTTTTTTTTTTTTTTTTTTTTTTTTTTTTTTTTTTGTGTTACCTACGAGTACAGATACCTTTTTTGATACCTTTTGCGGTGCCATTTGAGCCCATACAAATTGAATGGGCTCCAATCGCATTGCAAAGAATTGCTTGCAATTTGAGCAGGAGGAATGCAGTGCAATTCCTGTCTGAATTGCATGCGGTGTCCCGCACCGCTCCTGTGTGACCCAAGGCTTGTCACAGGGACTTTGAGCCTGAGTTCACACAGGAGCGGTGCAGGAGACCTCCCTGCATGACTGGTTCCACCAGCGAAGTTCTGCCTCCCAATAATACTGCAAACCTCAGCGGCTGTGCCTTGGGTTCCTCCTGCCTGTCTCCTTTGGCTTTCTTCCCTGCATCACCAGCGGCTCTCTCCCCCCAGCCTTCAGCGACTCGAGCCATGGACTCGCATGGACAAGACTTAGCTATCAGAAGCTGCTCTATCAGCAGTGCGAGGAGAAGAGAGAAAGCTGCAGGGATTTCAAATCCCTGAGTCGGTGAAGTGGCTTTTCGATGTTTGACAGTGGGGGATCGACAATCTGGTACAGTGGAATGGGGAGAGGGTCCAGTGGGATGGCTTGAGCCGCTGGAGGCAAGAGGGAGAGTGCTGCTGGTGATGCAGGGAACAAAGCCGTGAGATAGGCAGGAGGAGCCCAAGCAGGGAGGTTTCCCACACCACTCTTGTGTGAACTCGGGCTTAAAGTCACTATGACAAACCCAGGTTCACACAGGAGCTGTGCAGGAAACCGCATGCGATTCAGACAGGAGCCACACCGCATTCTGTTCAAATTGCATGCAATTCTTTACAGTGCGATTCGAGTCCATTCATTTTGTATGGGCTCAAATCACACCACAAAGGTATTTGTTTCACGTTTCAAGAGTACTCGGTATCGGCACAACTCTAGTTAGCAGTGTCCAATGTCTTTACATTGGAGTTCTGTAGCAGAACAAAACCCACATTTACCACTAAAGCCCAGTTGGATTGGTTAAAAAAAAAAAAATCCTCTTCTTGTTGGCTCTATACACTGCACGTAATGTGCTAAGTTTAATTGCCTATGGTGTGTAAAAATATTGAGAAAGCTCATTCCAGTGGACTTAGAGGTAATTGTGTGGTTCTGCCTTTTTATAATGATCAGTCCCAGTGTTCCAGAGCCTGTGCACTGCCGGCATCCCTTTAGGTATGGGAATAACTAAACCGTGATACAACCAGTACAATAATACTAAGGACATTGTCACAGGTGCCGTATTTCAAGCCTCAGAAAACCTGTATCGGCGCAGGTTTCAGAATAGGTGGGATATGATTTTGGGAATTCCTACATACCGTATGTTGCTATGGTAGAATATAGATTATAGAATATATAGAATATAGAATACAGAATATACATTTAAATGTTGTGATAGTTAAAATGGTTGTGAAGGTAAAAGTTATTTTTACCTTAATGCATTCTCTGCATTGAGGTAAAAAAAACCTTTTACATGCAGCTCCCCCCACAGCCCTTTAAATACTCACTGAGCCGGTTCACATATATGCGGTCGTGCGGGCCGCGTTTTGTGCTGACACGAGAGCCCATTCATTTGAATGGACTCCTGTGCCCTGTAACACGCAGGGAAGAAGTTGCTGCACTTCTTTGGAAACCGCAGCCCGCAGGGGAACCTCTGTTCCCAGTACGGTTGTGATTCCCAGTGCGGGCGGCCTGCCATTAGAATTATTGGCTCCTGCCCGCGGGTCCGCATTTCTCTGTGTGGGTGATGCGGATGCACGGATTTTTGGATCCACAGCGGCACCACCCACACATGTGAACCTAGCCTTCAGCCCCATCTCGGTCAAGTGCTGTGCACGTCTGCAGCAGCTCTTCTCTTGGCTCTCACAGGTTTGGCTGAGAGAAGCGGGAGCCATCGTCTTCTGCTGCTGTCAGTCAAAACCTGTTTGCAGAGAGCGGGGCCAGGCTGTGTATCTGGATAGACTCAAGCAGCCCGGCTTGAGAGAGAGCCCGCACAATTGTCCCTATAGAAAGCTGCTTGCTATGGTGGGCACTCAGCTGGGGGGGGGGGAGGGGCCAGGAGGTTCCGGGCTGCTCTGTGCAAACCATTACACAGAGCGGGTAAGTATAACATGTTTGTTATTTTAATGAAAAAAGGGAAGCTTAAGCATCACTTTAATACAATGGCAAATAAAAGTTATAACTAATATGAATAATATACTAAAAAAATACAAATAATATAAACATAAATGATTTTGAAAATTGAACGTGAAAGGTGATCTTTACAATGCTAAATTAGAAAAAACTTGTAGCACACTCTAAGGTCAGAAAATAGAAACCCAACCACTGCATCATAAGCAGGCTAAACCTTGCTATTTATGAATTTATTTATGAATTTATATTTAAATAATGTCAGGTTTTCTTAAACCTTATTTTTCATTATCTATTAATTTTCTAGAGAAAAAAAAACCTGAGTGAGTTTGGTTCTGGTACTTAAATGTCAATGTTGATAAAGCGTTTAGTGTGTAATATGAAAAATCGCAGCGTAAAGGTATGAAGTCAGCCCACACTGGAATTAATAGGGATGGAGGGACAGCTGTTACATACAGTAGTTGGGTTGCTAAAAGACACAAGTCCTTCTATTTCAACCAGTGCAAAAAAAAAAACAGAAAACCTCCATATACACAATCCTATAACCACAGTTGATCCAGATGAAGGCAAAAAAACAAACAAGCATACAATAAAGCCTGGTTGTTTGCTTCAGTGGGGAAAAAATTTGCTTCCAGATCCCCCGGGAGGCAATTGGATCAACTACCCGTTTGCTAAATCCCTGTATAATAGTATCAAAATGCGATGTATATCAACTGTTTCCATTTTTGTAAAATGATTATAATTTTAATTTTCTTCCAATTTTTGTTACACCTAAGTGCTGCTGTTCTCACAGCCATTTCCTGTCTGCATGACATTTTCAGTGCAGGTTTTCATATTGACACGTGGACCATGATACATAATATGTGTTGAAATTGCCACTTTTGTAATCTCCATTGGATGTCAAGTTTGATAAGGTGACTACACAGCAGCAAAGTTCTGAGACAGGGACACAGTGTATAAAAATCCTGTAACAGGAAGTGGCTATGTGCATGCGTGAGAGTCGCATCATTCTGGCTCAGTCCCTCAAGATAGTCAAAGAAAGTGAACCTGGAAGAAGCTGGAGAGAATATGTCTACAGCAATGAGGGAGCTTGTTGACTTCTCCTTATGAAAGGGAAGCAAAGTAATAAAGGATTTAGTTCCTCTATAACATGTTAAATTGATTTTGTAAATCATACTTTTTTTTTTTTTTTTAATTAAAATTTAAGTATACTTACTTGATCCATGTAATGGTTTTGCGCAGAGCAGCCCATTCTCCTCTTCCTGTGTACCCTGTTGGTGCTCCTGAGTCCTCTCCACCGAGTGTCCACCATAAAGCTGCTTCCTGTGGTCGGCACTTGTGCAAGCTTGCTCCCATGCTGGGCTGTTTGCGTCTATGCAGACACACAGCCCGGTTCGGCCCCTCCCCTGCTCTGTTTTTGACTGACAGCAGCAGGACCCAATAGCTCCTGCTGCTCTGTCAAGCCTGTGAGAGCCGAGAGAGGAGCTGCTGCAGACATGTAAAAGGTGTGTTTTTGTTTGTTCTTTTTGTTTTTTTTTTTGTTTTTTTTTTCTTCCCGTTTAATGCAGAAAATGCATTAGGATAAAAATAAAACCCTTTGCAATCACTTTAAAGCTTTAACCACTTCCTGACCGGCCATTGCATATAAACGGCTAGACGGTGGCACTGCAGGGTCGGGTGGCCGTTTATAAATGGCTTCCCCGCACCCTGCTTGTGCGCGCTCCTTGGGAGCGCGCAACACCGCGATCTGGTGCTCGCTGTGTCCTCCGGACACAGTGAAAAACACCGATCGTCGGATGGGATCATGTGATCACAGATTGGCCAATCAGTGATCACATGCAAAGTAGTAAGCAAGATGTCACTTGTGACATCATTGCTTACTACGTGTGAAATCTGTGAATGATCACAGAGGTCACATGGCACAAGGCTATTCACAACAGCCTTGTACCATGTGACAAGCTGTGACCAATCACAGCTCACTCAGTACTTCTCAATGAGTGCAAGAATGCAGACAGAGAGAAAGAGAAATGATTGCTTTTACATCCTATGTGGGTGTAAAAGCAATCAGTGTAAAAAAAAAAAAACCAAACTTCATCACCCCCCACAAGTAGTACAGTGTAACCATGGTGACACTGTACTGCTAGGGTGACAGTATGTAAAAAAAAAAAAAAAATAATAATATAAAAAAAAAAATAAAAATTTAAAACAAAATGTTTAAAAATTATAATTTTTGGTTATAAACTAATTTGGATTTTTTTTTTTTTTTACTAAAAAGATAACGGAATAAATTTTGGCCAAGATTTATGATGAAATATTTATTTGCAAAATTTTATAAAAAAAAACTTTTTCCAAAATTTTTGGATGTTTTTATTTACATAGCAAAAAAAATTAAAATCCCAGCGGTGAATAAATACCACCAAAATTAAGCTTTATCTGTCTCAAAAAAATGGTAAATTCATGTAGGTAGAGTGTTGCATGACCGCGCAATTGTCAATCAAAGTGTGATAGCGCTGAAAGCTGAAAATTGCCCTGGTCAGGAAGGGGGTAGAAGTGTCCGGTCTGGAAGTGGTTAATGAGGTTTTAGGAATTGAGTTTACATATATTGGGATTTTAGGCAATAATGTCAGTAAATGCATCTTTATAGTGATTGTTAGACAATGATGTGTTCTGAGTTATCATTACTTCCTAATTATCTTTTTCTTTTTTTTTTGTGTTCCAGTCTTGAACCTGACCTTGATTGATCTCCCAGGTATCACAAAGATTCCTGTTGGTGACCAGCCGCAGGACATTGAGTACCAAATCAAGGACATGATCCTCCAGTTCATCACTAGAGATAGCTGTCTAATCCTTGCTGTCACTCCAGCCAACACTGACCTGGCCAACTCCGATGCCTTGAAATTATCAAAAGAGGTGGATCCCCAAGGTAAGGTTACCATGAATGTGTGAAGCCAGACTTCGTTTTGTTTTCTTATATGCTGTGTTTATAAACGGAGAGAATAAATGGCTTGTCTGATGTTTTGGGTAAGTGTTGGTCATAGCCCTGAAATGTAATACATTGATGTCCCTGGGCACACGATTTTTCACAAGTATGTTATCTGGTTTATTAGATGTATCCTTGCGAGGGGTCCCTCCTTCATAAAGAAACAAGTGTTTATCCACCTCTTTCGCTGTGATGGCCTTTTTCTCCTGAAGCTCTTCTGTTCTGGTCAGTCCGTGCTGTGGTGGTGACCTTTGGGATGCTGGATGCCTCTTGGTCTAGGCTAAATTTCTGCTCACAAGGAAAATAAGTGCTATATGAAAAGAACATTAGGAAGCCAGAAGAAGCAGTCCCCTTTGCTGGCTACTTTTGAGAACGAGGGTGCACTTGCACCAGTTTAACAACACTAACTCAGGCGTGGGTTAATTTAAGTCAAAAAATGTTTTTTTTTTAATGTTTTTTTTAATTTTTTTTTTTTTTTTTTTTTAAAGTAAAATAACAAACATGTTATGCACAGAGTGGCCCTGAATCTCCATGTCTCGGGTCCCTCGGCAAAGCTTCTGGCTTCTCCTCTTCTTTGTGTGTCCCCATAGCTATGGAGGCGACAATGTCTGCATGCTCCTGAGCTATTTCTATGGAGCTGCACTTTATAGATTTACACAATGGGACTTAGCCCTGCCCCCCATTTCCTCCTCCCCGCATTTGATTGACAGCAGCAGGAGCCAATGGCTCCTGCTGCTGCTCTAGTGCTGTGTGAAGAGGAAGAGAGGGGAGAAGAGATACAGCCATGCACATTGCTGGATCTACTGTTCCCTTCCCCTTCATACAGGGAAGTGGGGAGGGGAACGCAGAGAAATTGAAAATGTTTTTTTGCCTTAATGCAAGGAATGTATTAAGGTGTAAAAAAAAAAATGTGTTTAGCTTTCGTATCATTTTAAGGAAGTGTTCTTTAGAAAATTTACAAATTGTTTCCAGGCACACTCCTCTACTAACTGGAGCAGTGATCCATGCTTCAGTACATTGCCATGTATGGAGAGTTCTATGGTCTGGCACAGTTTGCACTGACACCGTATAAAACCGTGCTGGGCCACAAGGGAACTGCACCTGGGACCACCTCTGCCAAGCGGTCCTAGGTGTGGTACACTTAACCAATCCCGGTCATGGTTAAGAGACACTCGCACTACACAAAAGAACCTGCCCAAGTGGGTGAACCGTACCAGAAACTGGTTCAGTGTGCCAGTGTGAATGTACCCTGAGACTCCTCCAAATATCTGTACTTTGCTCTAAACAGTGCAGAGCAGTGGCCATGCGCTTGGAGCCTCTTCCAAAACTTTGTTGAAAGAGCAGAAACCGGTTGAGTTGCCTGTTTTCCCTTGATGAAATGTTTTTGTCCTTTTATAAAAGTCGCACAGAACGAAAAGAATGGAAATAACAACATGGTTTGACTGCTACTGGACTTTGATGAATCTTTGACAGCAAAAGATGATAGCTGATGGTCCTAGTTTTGGGGAAATAAACGAGGGTAGCTAATCTGTTTTAGAGCTAGCAACTAATGTGCCTTCACCGTGTGCATTTTACTACAAGTTTGTAAGATTATCCAGAATTGGCTTTATCTGTTTTATTTCTGATTATTTTTTTCTGAAATGTTAGTGAAAGCATCAGCTGCTTACATTTGCAAGTGGTATATGGAGAGAGTAAAGCTGTAAGTTCCCAGATTTACCACTGTTATCACTTCTTGACGCTAGAATGTATTCCAAGGTCATGGACAGGCTGCAAGCTAACAAGCAGGTGGGATCTGCTAGAACTGTGGATGGTACACAGTGTAATATTCTGCAGGTATCTTCATCACAGGTTCACTTTAACCACTTGCTGACCAGCCACTGTAGAAATACGGTGGCAGGTTGGCACGGCTGGGCAAAAGCACATTTTAAAACGTGTGTTTGCAAAAGAGGTAGGGGGCACGCGCGAGGCGCGCCGCCGCCCTACCTGCACCTCCGATCCCAGCCGCGGGTGTCAGTCGCCGGGTCATGGCCGGTCATTACCGGCCATGTCCCGCCGATTAGCGGCAATCACTGACAGAGAGCAGGGCTGCAGTAGCTCTGCTTTTTTGTCAGTTCCCTGACCGCTCCTGACACGCTGATCAGGAGAGAAGAGTTTATCTCTCCTGATCAGCCATGTCCCCTGCAGTACACACCCCTGCCCCCTATTAAAACACTCCCCTCACACAGTTAACCCTTTCAGTGAATAAAAAGTTAACCCCTTCCTCCCCAGTGCCATTAGTACAGTGTCAGTGTTTTGTTTTTTTTGCACTGATCACTGTATTGGTGTCACTGGGGATGTCAGTGACCCCAAGTCAGTTCCCCCCCAGTGTCAGAATGTCCGCCGCAGTCCTGCCATAAGTCGCTGATCGCTGCCATAAGTCACTGATCGTCGCCATTATTAGTATAAAAAAATAAAAAATCTGAGTATCTTTCCCGCCATTTGTAAACGCTATAACTTTCACGTAAACCAATTATTTACATGTATTGGGGTTTTTTTTTTTTTTAGCAAAGACATGTCGCAGAATGCATTTTGGCCAAAATTTATGACGAAATTAGATTTGTAAATTTTTTTTTACTGGATGTGTTTTATAGCAAAAAGTCCAAAATATTTTTTATTTTTTTTTTCTCAAAATTGTCAGCTTTTTTTTTTTTTTTTTTATAGCGCAAAAAATAACCCCACAGGCGATCAAATACCACCGAAAGAAAGCTCTATTTGTGTGAAAAAAAGGACATAAATTTCATTTATGTACCGTATTGCATGACCGCGCAATTGTCCGTTAAACTAGCGCAGCGCTGTATAGCAAAAAAAATGGCGTAAATTGCAGTATCTATACCATAGTTTGTAGACGCTATAACTTTCACACAAAACAATCAATATACACTTATTGGGATTTTTTTTACCAAAAACATGTAGCAGAATACATTGTGGCCTAAATTTATAACTAACTTTGAGTTTATTATACATTTTTTTTTTTATAGCTGAAAGTAAAAAGTATAGTTTTTCTTCAAAATTTTTGGTCTTTTTTTGTTTATAGCGTGAAAAATAAAAAGTGCACAGGTGATCAAATACCACCAAAAGAAAGCTCTATTTGTGTGAAAAAAAAGACGAAAATTTAGTTTGGGTGCAGCATTGCATGACCGCGCAATTATCAGTTGAATTAGTGCAGCGCTGAGTAGCAAAAAGAGGCCTGGTCATTAAGGGGGGTAAATCCTCAGGAGGGCAAGTGGTTAATTCAAACTACTCACACACCCTTATTACTCATTAGTCCTCCGGCGGGTACTTATACCAACAGCAGTGAAATCATGCTTGGTGGTACCCTACACATCCTATGGTACATGGCCACAGTGCTCAGTCTGTTGTATTATACATGGAGTGTCTTGCTTGAAAAGGTCTAACAAGAGTCCTGAGGATTTTAGAGGACTGGTAGAAAGGTTTGAACATAATGGAGATTTCCATCTACATCCTCATTGCCCTGAGCGACTTTGCCTTTATTGCTGACCTTTTACTTAACCACTTCAGCTCTGGAAAATTTGACCCCCTTTACTACCAGGCCAATTTTCCCTATTTAGCACTGTGGTAATTTAACTCGTAATTGAACAGTCATGCAACACTGTACCCAAATGAAGAAAAACATTTTTTTTTTTTCACACAGATAAAGCTTTCTTTTGATGGAATTTGATGACCACTGGGATCATTTGTGATATAAGACTAAAGATTTAAAAAAAAATGTGCTATAAAACATATCCAATAAAAAAACTAATTTATTTATACATTTTGGCCAAAAAGCATTCTCCTTCATGTGTTTGGTTAAATAAGAAAAAAGAATTCCCAGTAAGTGTTATATCTTTTATTACATTACATAAATCAACCATTAATCATTTATCACAAACCCCCCCCCCCCCCCCCCCCCCCCCCCCCCCCCCCATCTCTCCTCTCCCAATACAATTACCCCTGTCTGAGTAGTTCTAAGCCCTGTTTCACATATATGCAGCCGTGTGGGCCGCGTTTTGCGTGGGCACCACAGCCCATTCATTTGAAAGGACTCCTGTGCCCTGTGACACACAGAGAAGAAGTCCCTGCACTTCTTCCAAAAATGCAGACCGCAGGGGAACCTCGTTTCCCAGTACGGTTGCGCTTTCCTGTGCGGGCGGCGTGCCATTAGAACTAATGGCACCTGCCCGCGGGTCCGCATTTCTCTGTGCAGGTGGTGCGGCCAGACAGATTTTCTTGCGGATCCGCAGCGGCACCAACCGCACAGATGTGGACCTAGCCTTTCCATCTTTCATTCCGTTTCATCAACCTATATCTACAACCCTATTATCTAGTTAACCAGTTTGAATCTCCAGCCCTTGTTACCGGGGCACCCCTCATTTTAAGATATTTTTCAGATGTTTTTAATTCATACCACCTACTCCAATCTTTTCTAACTTTTTTCCATTTTGTCTTCCTCCATATGGCATACTCCATGCATTTCTTTTGAATTTTGTGTTGCTGTTCTGTCTGTCAGTGTTACAATACACCTACCATTTGATTTTTAGATTGATCATTTGCGAGTGGGCAAACAGTCAAAATCAGCAGGGGATCAAATACTTATTTCCTTCACTGTATATATGCGTGCAATGATTCCTCTCTCATTTCCGTTCCCTTCAACAACTCATTCATATACCTACAAAATTTAGGGACCAGTAACTCTTTAAATTTCTTGTAATACCCCACTGTATAACCATCAGGGCCAGGGCTCTTTCCTCCTGCCGAACGTTTCAGGGCTGTTCTAATTTCATTCTGGGAAAATTACTCGTTCTAGGGATGCTAATTTATCTACTGCATTTCTTGGTTACCCTGCCGCATTTAAGAATTCTTGCCTTCTCCTCTTCTTTTCCTCTTTTGCTTTTTGATTTATAGGG